GTAGTATTCCATGGTTTACATATACCATGGACAAATCTGGGTTGATTCTGGTTTTTGAATCCTTTTAACAGTGCATAGATTATCTCCATTAGCTCTGAAATTGGGGTGGTAAGCTGTTCTGTTTGTGTGTGTTTGTTCATAGTACAATGTTTATAATATTTTATTCCATTTCTGTGGTCTACAACCTATTTTTTGATACCTAAATATAATTTGTCATGATGTTTAGTTATTGCACTTGACTTATGACATAAGTACAGCTAATTGCATATAAGCCCATTTAGCTCATTATTTACATAAATTATTTGTTGAATGGATGATTTGAAGCTAATTTTTGTAACTGATTACTCTTACTTATAATTATCTTGGTGACAGCCTATTAGAAAGCTAGAATAAGGAAACTAGAATATACAAGGTGGCCATAAAGTTTGTGTGAAATTTAAAATAGTTTAACATAGGAGATTACACACAAACTTTATGAACACGCTGCATTAACATAGTTTCAACTGGTTTCTGGGTTTGAAGGATATTGGCAGCTGCCTAAATTTGAGTATTTTCACATATCCCCCTAAAAAATACATGGACTAAAAGCAATACAAAAGAAAAACCCAGCTAGCCCATACCTTCTGCACTAGTAGGAGTTGGAGAACACCACCTACTTCTACCAGAGCTTCCACTGCTGCTGTGAGACTGGATATGTGGGAAGTGGGAAGAGACTCCATGAAAAAGAGGAGAGGGAATGATGATGTTGGTCCACAGAGTTATGCCAGTGGAGAAAATGAGAGGAAAGGAAAATTAAGGCTCCTGCAAAAATGAAAGAAAACACCAGACTTTCTCATTACCAAAATAAACTACACGTCACAAGTGGACAGAGAAGGTGCTCTAAGACTAAAGAGTGCAGTACACAACTAGAGGAAAATCAAATACATACAACATTGTTGTTAGAAGAAAGGGGGAGATCTTTATTAAAGCATTTCAGCTAATGAACATCATCTTGCCCTTCCCTCTTTCCCCTAAAAACCTCGGAAAGATAACCACAGAGTGGAATGCTGTAACAGTACTCTAGACTGAATTAAACATTCTCACATGAGGAAAATAGGACCTGCTATCCCAATTTAAAGAGAGAAATGGGGGAGGAGGCACAAAGATTAGGAAGAACGCAATGAGAGTTCATTAAACTCAGGAAGAAACTGAAGAAAAAGACAAAACTATCTTAGAAATGAAGATGAAATTACAGAATGCACAACAGAATAGAAAGAATAAAAATCAAATGAGGGACAGCAAATGAAAATGCAATAAAGATGTATAAAAAGGCTCTCAGAGGAAATGATTGCAAGGAATGACCAGCACAGGAAGCCTAACATAATTGGAGTCTGTGAAGAAGACAAAACAAGCAGTGGAAAAAACTAATGGTTAAGCTATAATTCAGAACAACTTTCTGGGAATAGGGAAATGTTGCATCTACCTTTTGAAGAACCCACCATGACCTGGAATGATGAACTCTGACACCTATGTTAGTAAAACTAGCAAAGATGAATTGGGCTGGCATCACACTTGTGAAGAGCGGCATGCAAATCATGGCCACAGAGTAGAGATTTTAAGAGACTCAAGGAAAGAAATTACAAGCCAAAGTATGATATCCAGCCAAGTTTTTCTTCAGTTATGAGGGCTGTACAAAAGCAATTTTAAACATTCAAGAACTCATTGGATATTGTATCCAGGAGCCCTTGAGGAACTTAGTAGAGGAGGAACTCAAGAGATCACTGGGTAGCCTTCAGCAAAAGAGCTATGAGCAGTTAGTCTATTAAACTGCAGAACCTAAGTACAACAAGGATGGAGACAAAGGTAGAAGGACACTATGAAATGTTAGATGTTGGACAGAGCAGAAAGAACACCACGTTTAAAAAGAAGAGAAAGGGAAAGAATAAGGTGAGACTGTGTGACAAAGGAGACAAAGGATACCATTTGAAACTGCAGACTGGACATTCAAAAAAGCTTAACTAAGAATGAAAGCAGAAGAGAAATAAAAGGGATTAGGGGAACTAACCGAAGAATAAGTGCAAAAGTAACTACTAGAACAATTATGACTAACCTTGCTAACTACCAAAAGAAAATGCAGAAACGTAGCAAAGAAATTACATTGAGAAAGGAACTTGGTAACTATTCGCTAATATACACAGTACTTATATGATAGTGTCTGAGACAGAAAACAAGCATACCATTCGTATTAACTGAGTAGGTTTAAAGTACCTATGAAGAGAAAAAGATTTTCAAACTGGCTTTTAAAGCAAACATCCTGTTGAAATTTGATTTAGGCAGGAATACATTAGTGGATGTTAAAATCATGGGAGGAAAGTTAGGTAAGGCTCAGAATTTTTGCTCTGTCTTCAAGTATGTCCTTACAGATTGCTTATCAGCTGCAAGGGGAAAAATAATAACCATATATTAAAAAACTGGGTAACACCTTGCCCAGATGATCAAAGTTATATAGCCAATGAAGATGTTAGCAACATGATAGGCTGCTACTGTGATCCCCTTAGAAGGGCGCATCATTACTTCATATGGTAGTCTAGTATGGAACATATAAGATGAATCTAATAATGGACACTATCAGACAAACCCAGATTGTGGAACATTTTATATAATAACTGGCTTCTGTTTTTAAAAAAAAAAATACCAATGTCACGAAAGAAACAACTCTGGGACTATTCCAAATTAAAGGAATCTAAAGAGACAGCCATATGAAATCTGTGACCCCAGATTGGATTCTGTACTAAATGGGGAGAAATGCTATAAAGGGCATTATCTGGGTAATTGACGGAATTAGAATGTGGAATGACCAAGTATTTTATCAGTACTAAGTTTTCCTGAGTCTGATGACTGTACTGCTTGTATAAGAATGTCCTTATTCTGGCTCGGCGCCTATGGCTCAACCGGCTAAGGCGCCAGCCATGTGCACCTAAGGTGGTGGGTTCGAATCCCCAGCCCGGACCCGCCAAACAACAATGATGGCTGCAACCAAAAAATAGCCGGGCGTTGTGGCGGGCGCCTGTGGTCCCAGCTGCTTGGGAGGTGGAGGCAGGAGACTCGCTTGAGCCCAGGAGTTGGAGGTTGCTGTGAGCTGTAATGCCACGGCACTCTGCCCAGGGGGACAGCTTGAGGCACTGTCTCAAAAAAAAAAAAAAAGAATGTCCTTATTCTTAAAAAGTCACATTAAAGTATTAAAACGTAAAGCGTGATGTGTAAATCTACTCTCAAAAGGTTCAGAAAAAAGTACTGTTGGTTTAAATGGTTTAGAAAATATAAATGTTGGGGGTGGATAAAGTAAAAGTAGCAAAATGTTAAAAAGTTGATGAGTTTGAGTAAAGAGTATTTTGAGAACTCCTTGTTTAACATTTGTCTAAGATTTAAATTATTTTTTTCAAAGCAGTCCCGGCTGTGAACTATAAGCCAGAGACCAGTGCATGTTCACCTAGTTTAGTAAAGTAGAATTCGAGTTACAATGTTCTCACTTTCTTCCCACCCCCATGGTTTAGATATTGAGTGTTCTACTAGTTCAGATTAGCTCTGTTCGGAAAGTCTGACAAATTATCAGTCTGTGTTAAGTTATAGAGGTGGTTTCTTTGAAGCATTTTTCTCTGGTATCTTTTTATAGAATTTATCTTTTTTCAATCTTAAATTCTGTTTCTGAGAAAAATATTGTTTTTTAATTGTGTCCTTTCCTATGACCTCCAGTAGAATGCTTGGTCATGTGGAAGAAAACCAGCTATTTGGTTTATTCTCCCATCTGGTGCTTCCTTGTTTTCTGTGAACAAAATAGGAAATGGAAGAGTTTAGAAGCTTTGAATACTTTTCCATATATTTATCTTGTTCCAAAGGGAGCTGTATCAAATAATACGTGGATAGTAGTTTTAGAAACTTTGCCAGCTATTTTGCAACGAATACCGTTTTACCAAATTAAGCTCTTTTATTTATCTTTTGAGGAACAACTTGTTCTTTGTCAAAAGAAGAATACGTGAAGATACTTTGTCTTAATGATTCCATGTCTTTTTCTTTATATGTAATAAATATTATCAGTAGTTCTGTGTATAGCATGTGTGAAGAAAAGAGAGAACACAGATTAAATTTGAGATCATGCATCCAGTCTTAGATATTGTATCAGTTTTTATTTGAGAAAAAATATTAAAATAAAAATTTATATATATTGTATCAGTTTTTATTTGAGAAAAAATTATTAAAATAAAAATTTATGCCTACTGATTCTTCAACAGTATTTATACTAAGCTTCTTGCTTCTGCTTTAAGGCTGTGGGGAAAAGAGAACCATATGGTTCTACTAGATGAACAATCTAGGAGCTCTCACTACACATTTCCAAAAGGAGGACCTCTCATACTCAGTGGGAAGGTTGCACAGTGCCTTTCAATCTTTGTAACTAGTGCAGTAACTAGTGTAACTAGTGCAAAGTAACTAGTAGTAACTTTGTTACTGGCTGACCCTAACTATAGGATGAAGGCTGGGTACATGATGTTTAAGTGTCAGGATAATGTGAATTCTTCAGAGGTCAGTGTTATTTACTGTGCACTTTAAAAAGCAGATTGAAGTGATACACGTAACGGCTTTTTTTACAAGAGGATTCAAGTCATACATGCAACTGCTTTTCCTGGAAGTGTGGAATTACTTTCTAATCTATAAGAGTGAGGGTTGTTTTTTGGGGTTTTTTGTTTTTTTTAAAGATTATTTAGCCAAACACCACCGAGTAAAGTCAATAAAAGTAGATGTAACTGTTAGGTGCAATACTAAGAAAGAGAAATGCTATCAAAGGCAAAACAAATTTTTTTTGGTTAATTTTTATACTGGTAATATTTTGCTGTTGATAATGTGTTTCTGGTGCATTTTGAGTTCTACTTGCAACTATTTTGGTACTTGCAGTGTTTTTATATTCAAGGCTTTGTCATTAACATGATATTTTAAGTATTTATAAAACAATTTTTTTTTCTAACTAGGAGGAAGCATTGCACGCATTTATTCAACCGGAGATCCTAGATGGTCCCAATCAGTATTTTTGCGAACGGTGTAAGAAGAAGTGTGATGCACGAAAGGTAGATGCCATATAGAAATTAATAGTTAATTATCTGAGATGATATTCAATATTCAGTAGAGTCTACCCCTTTGTTTTTTCAGGGCCTTCGGTTTTTGCATTTCCCTTATCTGCTGACCTTACAGTTAAAAAGGTTTGATTTTGATTATACAACCATGCATAGGATTAAATTGAATGATCGAATGACATTTCCTGAGGAACTAGATATGAGTACATTTATTGATGTTGAAGATGAGGTAAATATTTATTAAATTTTCTTGTTATAAAATGTTTTTCATTGATTCATTTTAGTCATTTTTTGAAAGAGCTATTAGGGGTAACAATGATGGCATTTAGACTGTCTTTTTGAAGGAAGCTTTTTCTTTTCTTATTTATTAACGCTGAATTCTGTAAGAAGACTTACCTTTGTATGAGCTTTTACCGAACACCATATTTCAAATTATATTTTAAATATTCTTATTTGGAGTAACTCATGATGTTCTTTGAAAAGACAATAAGGAGAGAATCTTATGGTTCATAATTTCATAGTTATTGAAACTAACTAGTTTACAGGTAGCATGCACTTGTGTTACTGATGTGGAATAAATGCAGAACCAATATATGTGAATTAATGAATGATGAACTGAGTAACATGGACTTAATTTCTTGTATTTGTCTTACCTTCAAGGATTAAAGTACCTGGGTAATTCCCACTTAAGGTTTGCTAGTTCTTAAATTGGCTGGGTTAGAAAGCTAGAAAATATAAGGTGTTTTGTCTATTTTTCTTTTTTAGTTAGTTTTTTAAATTTGGAAATTTTATTTAAATAGTTTGAGCAGGAGACTTTGAAGGACACATGTAGTGCTCATCAATTTCTTCCCATTCAGTGGCTTCCCAGAATTCTCTAGTTCCTCTAGCTGTACTCAATAAAAGATTTATAACAGTCCACTCTTCTTTTGGAAACTCTTCTGATTTCATCTTATGGAATATTTATGATCACTTAGCATAGTTACAGATTTATCACTTTGAGACTACCATGAAGCAATTTCTTTATTGAAACTGATGACTATAAAAATGCCTTTTCCCAGGAGCTCAAAAATAATTTGAAGCATTTTTGAAGTTTTATTTAGTACTGTCGAGTACTAAAATGTGGTATAAAAGAGCACATGTTTTGGGTTCAAAACCTTGCTTTACTGCTTGACCTTGAGTGATTCATGTAACCTTTCTAACTTTTCATTTTCCTTATCTAATGTCAGAGTAATAAATGTTTTCTTTACAGCTTTTTTAAGGAGGCATTTTAAATAAATGTTCATTGAATGGTAACTATAAGGTGACCACATAACATTTTGGAAGATTTAATTTAAAATAATCTTCAAACACTTAAATTTAAGGTAGGATGCCAAAGTATATAAGACTTTGAGAAGAGACATTATTTTTGCAGGATTTCTACTCAATAGGGATTCATGTTAGGTCAAGTCTTCTGAACGTGCCAAATGTAAAGGGAAATCTTTTCCAAGGGAAGAAAACCCTGATACAAAGTTTGGCAACCTCATTTTAGGAAGTTTTAGGCCTAGTTCTTGGAAGAAGAGATGTTTTGACTTCATTAGGATTACCTTTTTGGATGTAGTATAGAGTTATAAAGTTGCTTTTCACCTTTATTTGTCTTTGATACAAACTTTATTGAAGGATGAAGTCTCTATATTAAATATAATGTAATACCTACAACAAAAACTTTGTTCCAAACGAAAAATTTGTGTTTATTATCTTTATTGCTTGGATGCATCCAAGAACTTCTGTGCAAGACTTTACACTTACTAAGAGCCTATATCTTTGAGAATTCTCAAACAGTTTAAATAAAAATATTTTAGGTATATGTATAAAATGTTAGAGGAAAAGTGGAAAAGGATTGTTTGGTGATTTCTAAAAAGTAAAATTTTTCAAATTAAAGTTGTGTGAATGTCATTTAAAAACCATAAAGCAAAAAGTATAATTTGCTTTTGTTACATTTCAATTCTTGAGAAAAGAAAAAAATGTCTATTTTTCTTTCAAATTATCTATAATACTTGACACAGTAATAAACCGAATTGAACTTTTTGTTCAAAAAAAAGAGATGATATTCTGTTGGGATTTGAGAACACAAAAACCTTATTTTGGGGCTCAGGTTCTCTGCTTTTCTGGATTTTGCTGAAAGGGTAATTTTATATTATTACTTTGCAGTGATAAACATAAATGGGGCTTATCACTAATCTGTTGTATTAAAATTTTAAGGACATAATATAAATGCTTTAAAAATATATAGTAGAACCTCCATAGTTGATCACTTCCTTCCGGTGACCACCTCTGTAAGTTGCCCTAATTTTCATAAAGTGGACATGCACCACATATACTGTCAGTGCAGTGGATGTGGTTCCTTATGTGGACCAAACCTGAATGTGGACCAGTTTTTTACAGTCCAGTGGTAGGTTCTGCTGTACTTTTGCTTGTTCAATTTTACTTAGATTTCACTTTTTAAAGAGAAGATAAATTTATTTAATGTAAAATCAATATTTGTATTAATAAGAATATGTTAAATTATGTGAAAAGTTTTGTAGTATATATTTTCCTTAAATTTAGCTTGTAATCTTAAGATAATTATGTCTTATTAAGAAATCTCCTCAGACTGAAAGTTGCACTGACAGTGGAGCAGAAAATGAAGGTAGTTGTCACAGTGATCAGATGAGCAATGATTTCTCCAATGATGACGGTGTTGATGAAGGAATCTGCCTTGAAAGCAATAGTGGAACAGAAAAGATTTCAAAACCTGGACTTGAAAAGGTACCGTTTATAGTTCGTGTTTTTTAGCAGAAAGAGAGAATAATCTCTGAGTGGCTATTGTGACCGATAAAGTTTACTTTAAAAGAAGCTTGATTTCTGAAAGTTGAGACTTCTTGAAGATACTACTACATACATGTATCTGATTATAATTAAACTTCAGTAAAAACTGCTTGGAAGTAGGAACATTAATTTCTGGGTCTGAACTGTAACTGTGAGCGAGCTGTCTGGTGTTGTAGAAAGGGTGTCTAGGAGTCAGGAACTCATCTACCACCTCTGCCCTTAAAGTTGCAGCAGGTCTCCAAATCTTAGATCTCATCTGAGTTTCCTCGTTTATAAAAATGAAAGCATTGGGTTAGATTCACTGGTTTTTAAAATTACATGCAGTGGAACACTTTATGAAACTTAATAGATTTTATCTTTTTGAGGTAAGAGAGAGGCACAGTCCTCAATCTTCCTCCCCTTGCTGTAATAGTTCTTAAGGCATTTGAAAAAAGGTATATAGTTCCATGGATTATAATTTGAAAAGACTATCTCAAAAAAAAAAAAGAAATAGCCGTACAACTCGATAGACTCTAGGATAAGATGATTTTGTCTCTGTGTCAATGATTTGAAGGTTTTATCAGATCATTTCACATTCGTATATTCTGCTTTATTGAGGGGAAAATTACAAATAAAATATCTTGAGCATGGTGTGAATAATAAATCACTAATGTGAATACTGATCACTAGTGAAGTCTTGCAGAGTCATATTAAATACAGAGATTTTTAAAGAATAATTTAGGAATAGAGTTCACTTTCATAAATATTTTTAGACCAAAGCCATTTTTCTCATCACCTAACCTTTTAAAATTATGTCTTATTTAGGACAGACAGATGAGCAGGAATTGCTATGTAATGAATTATGCAGTGGATACATTATAACTTAGTATGAAAACATGACTTTCTAGCAAGAATTGGCAAACTATGGCTCAAGAGAGTCGAATCCAGCCCCTGACCTTTTTTTTTTTTTTTTACGTAAACAATCATGTCATCTGAGAACAAAGACAGCTTTCTTTCTTTTCTATATGTATACCTTTTTCTTTTTGTCTTACTGCACTAGGTAGGATTTCCAATACAATGTTGAATAGAAGTGAGAGAGAACATTTTTGTCACGTTCCCAGTCTCCTGGAGGGAAACTTTCTGTCTCTTACCCTTAAGTGTGATATTTGCTGTATGTTTGGTTTTGGTTTTGGTTTTGGTTTTGGTTTTGGTTTTTGCATGTTCTTTATCAAGTTCAGGATGTTTGCCTCGGTTCCTAGTTTATTGAGAGTTTTTTTGTTTATCATGAATAGGTGTTGGATTTTGTAAGATGATTTTTCTGTGTCTTATGATTTTTCATTTTGATATATGATTTTTCTTTTTTAGCTTGAATTACATAGATTTTCTGATGTTGAATTTAGACTAATTCAACTAATTCAACTAATTGAATTCATGTTCAATTTAGACTAACTTAGACTTAGACTAAATTCTATTTTGTCAGAGTATATAATTCTCTTTATATATTATTGGATTTGATCTGCTAATATTTTGCAGAGGATTTTTGCATCTGTGTTCATGAGAAGCATTGGTCTTCAGTTTTCCTTTTTGTAATGTTTTTATTTGGTTTTGGTAATGCTCAGCTCATAGAATGAGTTAGGGATTGTTTCCTTTCTCTGTAATTTTGGAAGAAATTGTGGAGAATTAGTATTATTTCTTTCTTAAATGTTTAGTAGCATTCACTAGTGAAATTATCTGGACCTAATGCTATCTTTTTTAGAAAGTTATTAATTGTTGATTCTGATTTTTTAGTAGATAAGTGGATATTCAGATTATCTTTTCCTTGTAGGTTTTGATAATGTAGTAGTTTGTAATTTTTTTATTGTTTCAGATTCATTGAGGGTACAAAGAATTAGGTTACACTGATTGCATTTCTTAGGTAAAATCCTTCTTATAATTGTGTCCCACCCCCAAGAGGTGTGCCATACACCATAACCCTCCCATCCTCCTGCCTCCTCTCCACTCCCCACTTCCTTGTTCCCCCACCCCCCACCTTGAATTGAATTGAGTTTTTCTTATATGTGGGTATGTATTAGATCATCTACTGGCATAGTATTAGAATTGAGTACATTAGATTCTTGCTTCTCCATTCTTATGGTACTTTACTAAGAAGAATGTGTTCCAACTCTATCCAGGTTAATACAGAAGATGTAAAGTCTCCATCTTTTTTTAATGGCTGAATAGTACTCTATGTTCTACGTATACCATGGCTTGTTAATCCATTCCTGGGTCAGTGGGTATTCAGGTTGTTTCCACATTTTGGTAATTGTAAATTGAGGTGCAGCAGCCTAGTGCAAATGTCCTTATGATAAAATGATTTTTTGTTCTTCTGGGTAGATACCTAGTAATGGGATTGCAAGATCAAATGGGAGGTCTAATTTGAATTTTTAAGGATTCTGCTTACTTCCTTCCAAAATGGTTATATTAGTTTGCAGTCCCACCAGCAGTGTAAAAGTTTTCCCTTCTCTCCACATCCACACATCAGCATCTGCAGCTTTGAGACTTTGTGATGTGGGCTATTCTCACTGGGGTTAGGTGATAATATCAGGGTGGTTTTGATTTGCATTTCTCTGATCATCAGGGATGATGAGCATTTTTTCAAATATTTATTAGCCACTCATCTTCTTCATCAGAGAAGGTTCCATTCATATCTCTAGCCCAGCGGTAGATGGAATTGTTTGCTCTGTTTTTGTTGATTAATTTGAGTTCTCTGTAGATTCTAGTTATCAACCCTTTGTCAGATTCATATCCTGCAAATATCTTTTCCCATTCTGAAGGTTGTCTTTTTGCTTCACTTATTGTGTTCTTAGCTGTGCAGAAGCTTTTCAGCTTAATTGAGTCTCATTTGTTAATTTTTGATGTTGTTGCAAAGGTCACTTAAGTCTTTTATCATAAGATCTAAAGTCTTTATCATAAAATCTTTCCCCAATTCTATATCATCAAAAGAGTTTTTCCCACACTTTCTTCTAAGATTTTTATTGTTTCTTGTCTTAGATCAGTGGTTCTCAACCTTCCTAGTGCCACGACCCTTTAATACAGTTTCTCATGTTGTGGTGACCCCCAACCATAAAATTATTTTTGTTGCTACTTCATAACTGTAATTTTGCTACTGTTATGAATCATAATATGAATACCTGATATGCGAGATGGTCTTAGGCAACCCCTGTGAAAGGGTCGTTCAACCTCCAAAGGGGTTGCGACCCACAGGTTGAGAACCGCTGTCTTAGATTTAAATCTTTCATCCATCTTGAGTCAATTTTTGTAAGTGGTAAAAGGTGTGGGTCCATTTTCAGTCTTTTATATGTAGTTATCCAGTTTTCCCAGCACCAGTAGTTTGTAATGTTTAAGAAATTGGTTCATTTTCTCCAAATTGTCCGATCCATGGGCAGAGAGTTGTTCAAAGTATTCCTTTATTGTTCATTTAATTGTCCTTTCAGTGATGAAGCTTCTTTCATTTCTGATATTGGCCCATCTGTCTGTCTCTTTTTTTCCTTCTTGGTTAGTCTAATTAGAGATTTGCCATTTTATTAATTATTTTCAAAGGAGGATCAGTTTTTGGTTTTGTTGACTTTTTATGTTGTTTTCCTGTTTTCAATTTCATTTATTTCTGCTCTATTCTTTAGTTTGTCTTTTGTTCTGCTTGCTTTGTACTTAAAATGCTCTTTCTATGGTCTCCTAGCATAAAAGTTTGGTTTATTAATTTTAGAGGTTTCTTCTTTTCTATATCCATTTAATGTTAGATATTTCCCTCTAAACACTGCTTTTATGGCATCTCACAAATTTTGAAAAGTTTGTTTCATTTTCATTTACTTAAAAGTTTTTAAAGTTCTCTTGAAATTTTTTCTTTGACCCATGCGTTATTTAGAAGTATATTGTTTAATTTCTAACTATTTCCAATTTTTCTAGCTACTTTTCTGTTGTTGATTTCTAGTTAAATTACATTTTGGTCCTGGAACATACTTTGTGTTATTTCTATTCTTTTTAAATTTGGTAAGGTATGTTTTATGTAGTTTATCTTGGTGAATGTTCCATGTGAGCTTGGGAAGAATTTATATTCTGTTGTTGTTGAATGGAGTACTCTGTGTCAGTTTTATCTAGTTGATTGATGATGCTGTCCGGGTCATGTGTGTCTTTGCTGATTTGCTGCCTGTTTGATCTATCAATAACTGACAGAGGGTGTTGAGGTCTCCAACTGTATTAGTGGCTTTATATTTCTACTTTCAGCTCTGTCCATTTTTGCTACGTATTTTTGCCACTCTATTAAGTGCATACGCATTTGAGATTATTAATGTTCTCTTGGAGAACTGACCCTCTTTATTTACTGTGTAGCTCCCCACTTTACATGATATTTTTCCTCTTTTTGAAATGTGTTTTGTTTGGAATTAATATAGTTACTACAACATTGTTTTGAAATGAAAAAGTGTGTTTTTTCCATCTCTTCATTTTTCAATCTATGTGTCTTTCTATTTAAACTGGGTTTCTTACAACAAATAGTTGTGTCCTGGCTTTTTCAGTTCACTCTGACAAGTTTTGTTGTTTAATTGGTGTATTAGACCCTTCACATTTAGAGTGATTATTGATATGGTTTCATTAATGTCTACCATGATTGTAACTATCTTCTGTTCATTACATTTGTTTGATTTCTTTTTTCTCTTCATTTTCTGCCTTCACTGAATTGAGCGTTTTATTATAATTCAGTTTTATATCCTCTTATAGCATCTCAATTATATTTTAAAAGGTTTTTTAGTGGTTGCTTTAGGGTTTACAGTGCGCATTTTTAAGTAATCTAAATTGACCTTCAAAGTAACTGCATTGCTTTATGTTCAGCGTATGTACATGGAACACTGGTTATTTCCATCGCCTTCTTTCCATCCTGTGACAGTGCTTTTATTCATTTTATTGTCTGTAATTGCTCAATAGATGTT